TGCCGGACGACGGGGGCGTTAGCGCGGGCGAGGGTGGGGTGTCAGCGGCGAGAATCGCGCCGTCGCGCTGGAGCGAAACAACGCGGTCGACCGCCGCCCAGCCGCATCGACCGCGCGCCGGGCCTGAGCAGCGCTGGGTTGGCTCCCAGCGTGCCGGGTCAGATGACAGTCCATGTGGCTTTCGTCCGAAACCGAGTGAAGTCGCCCACGTTCTGTCTGGCGCCGGACCCCAGATCAGGCATCCCGCCGCGGACCGCAGCCCACCCGTCCGACCCGTCACACCGCCGCCAGATGTCACCCCGTCCGCCGACAGACAGCCAATCACGGCCCACAGCGACCGCCGCCACAGTCGGCTCACCTTACGGTTGTGACGCGACGCCACCTTGTGGTCCACCATGCGGCACGGGTAGTCCTCGCCGACGACACAGCCGGCCTCGCGCTGCACCTCCAGTGGCGCCTCCCATGGCGAGAAGATGTACTGTGTGGGCATGCGGCGCAGCTCCGGCACGTAGCGCCTGCAGGCGGAGCCGGCCGGTCAGCTGCGGACCCGGCGCCGCGGCCGGACGGACTCCGCCGGCCGCCGGTGTCGGGCCCTGAACGGCCCTCAGAGCGGGTCCTGTTGAGCTCTCCTGAAGGCCAGTCCTGTTCACCCCAAGACGGTTTCTGTTGAGGCCTGAAAGCGAGTCCTGTGGAGTTCTGAAAGCGAGCCTTGTTGAATCCTGGAGGCGCCCCACCTGTGACGGTGCGGCTACGGACCCGCGCCCCGTCCGTAATCGCAAGTCACGTGCCCGCCCACCACGCCGCCACCGTCGCGACGTGCCGCGGCCCCGACCAGCATAGTGGGTGCGCGCAGACACCACCATCGCCGCAGGCGGCGCGCTCGGCCGGCAACGCACCTGATGTACTCGCCGGTGGGCTCGAACAGGCGGCCGTAGCTGACCGGCGAGATGATGTCGGACGAGTCGAGGAACTTCTCGAACGCCGACGAGGAGACCCACATCCAGTTGCCGGCGTTCACTGACCAGTCGGCGTCCAGCAGGTACTCGTCAAACATCTGCGGGCCGACAGCGCGTCAGGACACTGGTGACGTGGAGGGTGGATCATGTCAGCCGGCAAGTCGCCGGCGGTGTCACGTGATCACAGCTGGTGACGTGGAAGGGTGGATCATGTCAGCCGGCAAAGTCGCCGGCGTGTCACATGATCAGAGCTGGTGACGTGGAGGGGTGGATCACATCACCTAAAGTCGCCGACGGTGTCACGTGATCACAGCTGGTGACGTGGAGGGGTGGATCATGTCAGCCGGCAAAGTCGCCGACGGTGTCACGATCACAGCTGGTGACGTGGAGGGGTGGATCACGTAGCCGTGCCGACGGTGTCACGTGACCATCACTGGGACGTGGAGGGGTGGATCACGTCAGCCCAAAGTCGCCGACGGTGACGGGATAACACTGGTGACGTGGAGGGGTGGATCATGTAAGCACGTGCCGCCCACGGCGTCACGTGACCATCACCGGGGACGTGGAGGGGTGGATCATGTCACCCCCGAGCCGCCGACGGTGACGCGTGACCATCACTGGGGACGTGGAGGGGTGGTTCACGTAACTCCGACACGCCGACGATGTCACGTGACCATCACTGGGACGTGGAGGGGTGGTTCACGTAACTCCGACACGCCGCCGACGACGTCACGTGACCATCACTGGGGACGTGGAGGGGTGGTTCACGTAACTCCGACACGCCGACGATGTCACGTGACCATCACTGGAGACGTCAAGGGGTGGATCATGCCACCCCCGAGCCGCCGACGGTGACCCGTGATCGTCACGGCAATGCAATAATTTCGGTGTGGAGCTTGATAGATATCTTCACTCGCCCTGACGTGCGTAGACATTGTGAATTTTTATCTGAAGCCTCACTTCAATGCACAACGAAGGCCTCGATCGTACCCATACAGTCTCCATTCGTCAAAAGACCGGTATTACATTCAGATCTATGCGGCTAGTTCGTTCCTGCGATACTGCACGGACGATTGGTGCCTCCACACACGTTGCAGCAAGGTCAAATAATTTGCTGATGATAGCAAGAGGAACCCGCCTTTTCAACGAAACCGCGCCGCTAAGGTCAATTCGATGTTTTTTACGTGCGGCATTCAGTGAACATCTGGTGTTCGAAACTTTTATAAACTCGGACAATTATATTATGCTCAAAATGCTGCGCTATCTGAAACAAGGCTGTGCAATGCTAAAAAGAGCAAATCTGGTTCGGTACACTATACGATACAACAGTCAGCTGATCTCAACGCCTGGCCTATACTGAAGTACCATCTGAAGAGCCAAAACAAACCGTGGTTGTGTCTCCCCGCGTCTGCGTCACCGACGACCTACTTGGGCGTCATCATCACAGACGTCGTAGTTGCAAGCTTTGGAATTAGCGCGGCCCCCTACAGACCATCCGATGATCAGTCCGGTCCGGTCCGAGGCAGACCAGACCACGGATCACTGGCGGGCCAGAGACCACACAGGTCGCCGGCGGACCGTCTGCCCGACCAAACCGGACCGGACAAGGCCAGACTAAACCAGACCCTACCAGACTGGGCTGGCCAGGCCAGGCAGGCCAGACCAGACCAGGTCAGACTAGACTAGACTAGATCAGGCGAGACTAGACTAGGCCAGACCGGACCAGACCAGATCAGACCAGCCAGACCATACCAGACCAGTCCGCGTCGGGTCAGCTGACCACGGCCGGTCGGAGCCCCCCCGATCAGACTGACCTGCCGTCCGTGCTCCCAGTTGATCCAGAGGTCGCCGCGCGTCAGGAAGCAGCTGGTGGCGTTCCGGCCACGTGGTGGATCCAGCCCTCCTGCCGGCCGGCGCATGACGAGGTCAGCGCGCGGCGCCGCCGGCGGTGGAGCCGCCCAGCCGGGCCAGGTCACCACCCAGCGCATGCGCTGCAGGACTGGCCACGCCCGGGCGGTGTGTGGCGCCCCTGACCACGCATCAGCACCGCGGCAGAGGACGCCACGGTTTGGGGACGGGTCACAGCGTAATGTGAGCCTGCTCCAAAAGCAACGTAAGGGCCTATGGAGCTTGCTCCCAACCATCGGGGCAGAGCAGCGTCAAGGACCTGCAAATACTGACGGCGCCAGCACCAGTGTGCGTCAGAACCCGCACAACCGCGTTCGGGCGGTGCCAAACGTACGCTTCGGAGGGCGTGAGGAGGGGGGGGGGGGTAACTTCACACACGCAGCGGATAGTGAGGAGGGGCCACCGCGGTGCCGCCGCCGGCCGGACGGCGGACGGCGGCGGCGCGGCCGGCAAGATGTCGACATCCCAATATAATTTCCTGCCTGCCTATATATGAATATATATATATATATATATATATATATATATATATATATATATATAGAATTAGATAGTGCGGTGTGTGGGCTCTGACGCACACTGGTGCTGGGCGCCGTCAGTATTTTGCAGGCACGCACGCCGTCCGGGCATGGTCGAGCAAACCTGTGTGCTTTCTGGCCTGCCAGTGATCTGTGGTCTGGTCCCGCTCCGGACCGGCCCCGGACTGACGTCGAATGGTCTGTAGGGGGCCGTGCTAATTCCAAAGCTTGCAACTACGACGTTGGCAGCGCAGGCGCCCCGCCGGGGCCCCACCTGCCGCAGCTGGCGCATGGCGGCGTCGATTAACGGGTAGCCGGTCTGGCCGTGGGCCCACAGCTCCAGCTGACGCTCGTCGTCCGCCCCGATGTTGAGGCACACCGGGTTCGGCTCCATCTGGTGACGTCACGGCCCGAGGGGGGCGCCGAACACGGCGTCACCGTCGGATGGCGCCAGTGCGGGCGTGTGGCTATATGTATGGTGCATGCCTTTAATTATACATATATATATATATATATATATATATATATATATATATATATATATATATATATATATGTATATATATATATATAATATATATATATAATATATATATATATATATATATAAACATCACATAGATATAAATCATACATCATATGTAAATATATAATTATATATATATATATATATATTATATATATATATATATAATATATACAGATATTATCACAAGACACGTTTGGGAGACTCCAAACACTTCAGGGAAGGAAACCCAAGCCAACCCGAGATCTTGCTGAATGGTACAAGCCTGAATAACCAGTTGGTTCAGGCGAGGACAAAAAACAAGTTATGCGAGGTCGGAGGAGAGGCAGGCAGGAGTGCGGAAAAACTGCGCCATCTGTTGGGATTTATCAGGGCCATGATTCAGCAAAGGGACCTGAAACGTGTACGCATGACCGAACGATTGGATGCAAAACAAAAGGGATATATGGTGTTCATTGCAAATGTGCGAATGTGTGCTTCACATCGGGTGACAGCGGGGACTTAATATACCCGTTCGGCAATGCATTGTCGACCATCAAGACAGAGTAAGAGCATCGGTGAACACTACCCCGTATCCATGTACTTTGTTTTACTCACTGTGCCATTCGATTAACGATGTAAATTGTTTTCGCTTGAAGGGAGAGTGGAGCAGAAATGTGGTATTTAGGGAAATCAGAAAAAGGTGGACCGACGTGTTGGGAGCACCACGCCTTTAGAGGGATTCAGCGTAAAAGCAAATTCAAGTGCACAAATGTGCTAAAAAGCGTTCTATGTGAGAGCTGTCCCACAAACAATGCACAGGCGTGGATTGTCATTTTTATTATAGTGGAATGAACCAAGGCCCTGTAAGGAAAAAACTTTATTCAGCCAGATGCAAGTTGAAATAAAACTGTACCATCCCAATGCAAAATGTTGCTATTCTAACAACCAGACATAGCTGAACAGTTCGTGTTCACCTGGTCTGGTCACTATAGGAGCTCCGCATGAAGAAAAATAAGGAAGAACCCGTGCTGACCTACTGATGACAGGCAGTGGTTCTCAACGGAGATCACATAGAACTAAACCTATTCATGACAGGCAGCGGTTCTCAACAGAGATCACATAGAACTGACCTATTCATGACAGGCAGTGGTTCTCAACAGAGATCACATGCAGCCCATGCTCACCAGATCGAAGTACGGGTTGTGCCCCGACATGGTGTAGAAGAATTCGCGCCAAACAAGCTGTACGCAGATGCTCATCGAGTGGCTGTGGGCGCTGGTGCTGGACTGGAACACCTTCTGGATCATGTGGTACATCCTGCCGGCGGCACGGGCACAGGTCACACCGCCGTATACATGGAGGCCACGCGGCGCCACACCGAGTCAACACAGCATCACGCCGAGCCACATGGTACCACACCGAGCCCACACGGCACCACACCGAGTCAACACAGCAACCACACCGAGTCAACCCAGCATCACGCCGAGTCCACACGGCACCACACCGAGTCAACACGGCACCACACCGAGTCCACACGGCACCACATCGAGTCAACACAGCACCACCCCGAGCCCACATAGTACCATACCGAGTCCCACGGCACCGCACCGATCCCACATGACACCACACCGAGTCAACACAGCACCACAACGAGCCCACATGGCACCACACCGAGCCCAGATGGCACCACACCGAGTCAACACACAGCATCACACACAAGTCAACAAGGTACCACACTGAGTCAACACAGCACCACACACACGACCCACACGGTACCACACCGATCCACATGGCACCACACCGAGTCCACACGGCACCGCACCGAGTCCACACGGCGGCAGCGGCTGATCCGCAGTACGCACCGCAATACCTGTATCTCACCAACGGGGATGATGAGGCAGACATGGATCCCCCTGCAGCGTGCCGTGCTAGATACTTCGTAAGATTCACCTAAGGTGCTGCGTAGGAATGCTGTTTACTGTGTATGATGCCTGTGCACTGCGTAGGATGCTGTGCAATGCGTAGGATGCTGTGCACTGCGTAGGACGTTTGTGTACCGTGTGGAACGCTGCGGCGGGCCTCGTTGGTGCACACACCCGCCAGTGGATGGTTCTGCTCCCGGTGCTGTGTACGGCACGGCACGCGATAATGCCTACTGCGCACCGCACTATGCGGGTTTCAACGCACGGTACTGCGCGTCACCTACACAGTACAAGATCCTGCGCACGACACGATGCGCGGCGCCCAACCTGCCGCCGGCGCTCACCTGCGCACCGACAGACAGCCGTGGCGCAGGTAGGCGGACAGGCTGCGCGGCGGCCCCAGCAGGTCCGGGCTGTACTGGTTGGGCATAACGATGCCGCGGCTGAGAGCGGCCTCCTCGTAGGCGATGCGCTCGCCCAGCAGCTGCAGGGCGCGCGTCTCGCCGCCCACGTACTTCTTCTGGTGCTCGCCGGGCGGCGGCGGGAGCGGCTTCAGGTCGGTCACCGCCGGCACGCGGGCGAACAGCTGGCGGAGGGCGGCGCGGTCAGAGCGGGACCGCACCGGAGCCGGTCAGGGCCGGGCGGGGCGGCGAGGTCAGAGCGGGACCGCGCCGGAGCCGGTCATGGCCGGGCGGGGAGGCGAGGGTCAGAGCGGGACCCCGCCAGAGCCGGTCAGAGCCGTGGCCGGGGACGGCGAGAGCCGGTCAGAGCCGGGCGGGGACGGCGAGGTCAGGAGCGGGACCCGCACCGGCGCCGGTCAAGAGCCCGGGCGGGACGGGCGAGGGTCCAGAGCGGGACCGCGCCGGAACCAGTCAGGGCCGGGCGCGAGGACTGCGAGGGTCAGAGCAGGACCGCGCCGGAGCCGGTCAGAGCCTGGGCGAGACGGCGAGGTCAGAGCCGGGACCGCCGCCGGAGCCGGTCCAGAGGCCGGGCGGGGACGGCGAGGGGGTCAGAGCGGGGACCGCGCCGGAGGCCGGTCAGGCGCAGGGCAGGGACGGCTGAGGGTCAGAGCGGGGACCGCGCAGGAGCCGGTCAGAGCCGGGCCTGAGTACGGGCGAGGGTCAGAAGGCGGGACCGCCGCCGGAGCCGGTCAGGGCCGGGCGAGGACGGCGAGGTCAGAGCGGGACCGCGCCGGAGCCGGTCAGGGCCGGGCAGGGACGGCGAGGTCACGCCAGGGACGATCGTACCGGATAAACGCAAGGAGAGCGGACGGCGACACTGGAGCAATGTGATAAGACAGCATTCGGAACCGACATGCCGGGCAGACAGCGTATGGGGAGACGGGGAGACGGGGGCCCATACACGGGCTGTTGACATGGCTCCAACGAAAACAAAACTGGAGGTTCGAGAACGTTGGCGGATGCGAAAAAGGTGAAATGTGACGCCACCAAGCAAGCTTACAACTCAAAGGAGCTGCTCGCCTCGGATTTAAAAAGAGCTCACTAGAGACCTGAATGAGTTCTTCGGCTCTGCGAAGACCTGGAAGCAACTAAAAAGATGAGCGCAAAAGAGTGACGTAACCCAGCACAGGCCCGCCGCCGCCCCGTATTAGTTTGCTGCCGTGTCAACGGCGACCAATTGGAAGTGGTCCACTCTTGGATTCTATTTTCGCTTGGCTGCAGTGTGATTACATTTGGGAATGCGAGGCTCGCTGTCCTGATCCGGGCGAGGGCCCGAAAAAAGCGAGCGGTTCTGTAACAAAGGTACGTACATACGCAGAACTCACCACAAAAAGGGACGAAACTTCGCCTATATATATATATATATATATATATATATATATATATATATATATATATATATATATATATATATGTACATTATATAAACGTGTCGAATGACAATATATATATATATATATATATATATATATATACATGCATTCTGTCGTTCGACAAGTTGCAACAACAAGCCGCACCTTCCAACCTCGGCGTCTCACGTAGTAGAGCGTTCGCAGGCTGTATTCGGGGTCACATCGCGGCTGGACCACCCCACACACAACGGCGAACTGCCGCACACAACGCCGACAGGGAGACTCTCTCTACACAGCCTGAGCAGCACCACTTATACCCCTTTCAAGCCCACCCGCAACACGATCGGCGTGCGACCCGCCGACACCACCGCGTCCCACCCCACCGCGTACACGGGTTAACGCATCGCCCCTGAACAGTGACCGTTTCCCTACGTTAACACTGTCCTGGGGCGTGATCTATTGCCACATATGGTCCACCGCTACACAGGCCAATCACATGAAACCGGTCGGGATAGTTCCTGTCCCTTATATCCTGATTGCCGAACCAATACCGAAGCCCGCCCTTCTACCCGCCCAACTAGATCGTCACAGTTGGACATATCCAAATCCTGTTTTGTCCGGCTAAAAATCGTGCAGGACGCCCGGCATGGTTTGGGTCGCCTTGGTTACCACCGCGGCCGCTGTCTGGGTCGTTTCAGCATGATGCCATCGTACACGGTCTCACCCGCGCTGAGCCGACGTCCGTCCCAGCTGTCTCATCGCATGGCGTCAGTGTGGCGACTGTTAGCCGTCCGAGGGCGCCTTCTCGCCGCTGGAGGGCAGCTGCCGTTTACTGGGCGAATGCGTTCGGGGTCAAGGTCCCGCTGAAGCCATGGAGCCCCGCCAGGACTTCCCACCGGTCGATACGGCTGGGCTTCGCCCGCAAAAAGCTAATTGGCACGGAACAATGCCAGGCGCGTCACTCACAAGCGCGCGCAAAGGGCGCGGGAATGACCCAAACTGTGGGACGGCCAAACCCGTGCGCTCGGTCTGTTCTTCCTACGCATCACAAAAAGGCTCTTGTCAAGTGTAAATAAAAAAGGAGGGCCATGCCTCCCGCCCTCTTCCCCCCCAAACATCTATCAGAACTGGTTGTCCCCGTTAAGTCAAGGATGCTGCGATTCATTTGGCGAGTTGTTCGACAGTCCCTGACGACTGAGCCGCGGCGTAGCGCCGCTTCCAAACCGGGTCACATTACAGCTCTGCTGAACCCCAGCACACAACATCGACTGGACGCCTTACGCATTCGGCTGCTCTTGCCCCAGTCGCCGACTGTCGCCGGAAGTTATCGACAGCATGACCAGCCCGACCTAAGGCTGTGGCCAGCACCGTGACACAGCTGCGGCGACATCCTACTGGCGGGCCAGTTACGCGTCGCAAACCGCACCGGCTCATGTGAGGCAGTTGTCACACTACAGGATCGGCAGTTGCCAGGGCTTTGTTTAGTCGCGTTTTGAGAGCGGGAACAGACATGTTGTCTTATCACTTTCCTGTCCCAGCCATCCAGGAGACGCGGAACAGTCCAGTTAGCTTCCCCGAACGACAGCACGAGAGCGCGTGACCTCCAGCCCACAATGACCCACACCATCGCCATTACGATTTCCTGTTTTTCCCCTCCGTTCACATCCGTTGACGTCGCGTCGCAGCGACGCCGGGTCGGTCAGATCCAGGCCCGGCTTCGATCCATGTTCTTGACATTTTTGCGAGTTGGAAATTTCAGTGTTTCCACGTTTAATCAAATGTGGGAAGGGGAAACGATGATGTTGCGCTGCTACAGGAAAAAACCTGGGCTATGAAACAGGTAACATGCCCGTGCCTTTAAACATTTACACAGGTGTCGTAGAATTACACAGCCTTTACAGAGCTTGCGCTTTACATTGCTAAAAGCTCGATGTGGTTAACACGCCTGCGGTAACCGCTACGCGCCTGGGAAACCAAAGGTCCGGGGTTCGATACCCCGTGGTGCCCGTCCTTCCTGCCAGGATGGGAGGCAGGCGACGTCATACAGCCTCAGCAGCTGCGGGCGTCGTAAGGTCCCAATGACAATGGCCTTGAAAGAGTGGTGCCTACGCCCGGTTCGCCCGAGTTAAAAAGATGTGCGCATTTCAAGTAAAGCTCGCCTGGACTGCGGCCTCGCAGGTGAGCGCAGCCAGCGTTACCAGCAGTCCTCGCGGTCACGAGTGACTGAGCTCTGCTGACAAGGTCAGCTATTCTGGCAATACCCAGCGGTACCAGCAGTCCTCGCGGTCACGAGTGACTGAGCTCTGCTGACAAGGTCAACTATTCTGGCAATACCCAGCGTTACCAGCAGTCCTCGCGGTCACGCGTGACTGAGCTCTGCTGACAAGGTCAACTATTATCGTAATACATTTCAGTGATTGTCCAATGCGTTCGTTTGACCGAGCTCAAAACACCGAAGAAAAAAAGGACCTTAAAAAACAGGCTTTCTTAGATAATAAGAGGTTCCCAAGCCTACACCGCTGTCTTCAGGCAAAAAGGCCTAAGTGTTATGCAAACCAATGGCCCTTAGACCTTTTTGCCTTTGGACGGCAGTCCACAGCACTTCAACATCAGTCAGCTCACACCACATGAAGCCCGCTTGCGGCCGGGTCAACGCAGCCGGCGCGGCTCCACTGACCTCGACCGGGTGTCCGTGGGGCCGGTCGACGTCCAGGCGCGGCAGCTGGCGCGCGTCGGGCGGCGTCCACGGCACCGGCGGCGGCGGCAGGCCGATCGCCATGACGACTTGCTGCGGCCGACACGGGGAGCGACGTCAGGGTCAGAGTGGAGTGAATGTCAGGCGGTGACGGGTCAGAGCACAGAGTAGAGCGAACAGCAGATCCGCCGCGGTGTCACCGACGGCGCCGGACAACGCACGGCCGGCGGCGCGGCGATAAAAAGCAGGGTTCACGGCGGACTACTGTCGATCTTATCACGCAGCCAACTCAGTGCTACCAAAGCCCGTACCATCAGTCCCTGGGCTGTGGGCGAGTGTCGAGCGAGCGGGCTCAAAAACGGCCTCACAGTCCGGCGGCGCGCTCGGTCGGTAACCCGGAGGGAGGCCTCGGCCCGCGCGGCCCCGCGAGCCGACGTGTGCCCCGCCGGACCGCACGGCGCCGCCGCCGGGCCGGGCGGTCCTCTCCCGGCGCCACTCACGTGTGCCCCGCCGCCGCCGGACCGCACGGCGCCGCCGCCGGACCGGGCGGTCCTCTCCCGCCGCCACTCACGTGGAACATGGCGAACGTGAGCGGCGGCTGGCCGTCGTTGGGCCGCGATCACCTCGGCCGGGTCCCAGAGCGTGTGCGAGATGCGCTCGATGACGTCGACGCCGTGCTGCTGGCACCAGGCGCGAACGCGGTCGTCGCGCGAAACCGCCACACCGGCTCGCAGTCCTGCGGAGCGCGTGCGGGGCGTCATCTGGCCGCAGCGGGAGGGGAAAGGAGGGGGGGGGGGGGGGGGGGGGGGGGGGGGGGCGCGGCGGCGCAAGCCGGCCGTCACACACACACGTGAGCCGCGAGGGGTTTCTCGTGTCCACAAAACGACAGCGCCCGTAATCGGTCGCGCTTAGCGTGGGGCGACGTTAGAGTACAGGATGGACCGTGCCGAGCATTGCGGCACATTGGGCTTTCGCTGCAATGCCGTTGACCCGGCATTTCACGGCTGGGAAGCGAGGTTAAGATTCATGCGACAGCCCTTCTTCGCGGGGACGCTGATCCCATCAATCTATCAATTGAGGCTTCGACAAATCCTTGAAAAATCGCTTCAGACGGCGTAACCACGGCACAGCAAAAACCGCCCTCGCCTTGGAACCACCGAGACACGCACCCCGCCGTGCCGCGCGAGCCACTCAGAACGCCGTCCAAGTCCGGGGCCGGGGCCGGGGCCGGGGCTGACCTGCTCGAAGCTCAGGTGGGTCATGCCGTAGTCGGCCCTGAACATGTTCAGCACGTCCACGGGGGTCGCCGCGCGCCGTCACCAGGCGGCCGCCGTACGCCGCCAGCTGGTCGTCCAGGTCCTCCAGCGACTCCAGCAGGAACTTGAGCCGGTTGTATCCGATCAGTCGCGTGCCTGAGGACCCTCTCACAGCTCAGCGCGCTGAGGTGGCCGCGGTGGGACGTGTCTGCCACCCATGCTTGCGACTCGCTGCTTGGTGTGCGGATGTCGAACGGCAACATCGCGACGCGATACTTAGTGTGCAGACGTCGAACAGCGATGAACGCCCATTGTGCAGCACTTAGAGCAATATATGCATCCACACAATTTCAAATACAAGGCATCACGTTACTTCCAATCCATGGAAAATCCTGAAGTGACACCATACGATTAACTTGTGGAAGTTATTATGATTCGATATGACGTCAAGGCGTACATAAGCCCATTGCCCAACGCACTCGGGGCTCGTGTAAACAATGGACCGCACAGCTTGTTTATTTAAAAATCGAGACACATGAGGTGATGGAACGTTATTTCCGTTTTGACTTGCATGTGGTGAGATAGTTCTCATGTGCTGTCACCCATACTATATCATGTGTGATGACAACACAACTCAAATATTACAAATATCAAAACCTCAATAACTATGACACAATAATACAAAAAAGAACTGACATCACAGATCGTCTCGAACACATTGATATAATCCAGGATGTATATCGCCCCGTAGAATGGGCGACATGGCAACGGTTACCGAGCTGAGTGTTAACTCACGCCTGTGTACCGAATTCTAAGAGAGTGGAGCTCTTGCCTTTGAGAACTTATGTAAGCACGGATTATCAGTATACCACCTTAAGCAGGTTTTTTGGCCTTTATCGGTCCTGATTATCGATGTGGCGATATCTGACGCCGATCCTTAAAAACGTCCCAAAACCGGTGGACCAATGGTTTGCGTGGAAACGATGTGCGTGCGGCAGGTTGTAAGCACCGACCAACACGCTTGCCAAGCCCACTGTCTGTCCGCTACACTAGCAAACGGTGCTGGCCTCGAAGCGGTGTGAGACGGGGTAACCGAGATCAGGCACTGGTTTTAAACCGCCTTTTTCAGCTTGTCAGTTATTAAATTGAACGTTTGACATGACAGTCATTGCAAGACTGACAGGGTAAGATGTGGGGGACGTGTCATGTGGGACATGATGTGCGGGATATGGCATGTGGGACATAACATGCGGTACGGGATATGTGGGACATGACATGTGGGATGGCATATGGGACATGACATGTATGACATGACATGTGGAAGATGACATATGGGGCATTCCATGTGGGATGACATGTATGTCATGCCATGTGGGACATGACATTTGAGAAATGGCATGAGGCCTTGTAATACCGCAATACAAGCTACATGTCGCTGAAAACTGTGTGGTGGTAAAATCAGTGGTGGCGAAGATCTACCCCTCTCACAGCTTGGTTCAGCAGGTTGTTGAGGCCATGCTTAATTGATATTAACACGCGCTCGGGTGGGGGGCTCAAACTGCCCCCCCCCCCAAAGGTTTTTCCAGATGGTTTCCGAACGGCGCGGCGTAGCCGCGCCAAATTTGGCTTGGCTGTGGACAATTGAATAGTGGATCGTTTGACGTAAAAATTCAGATGTGACTTGTAAGGTCGCTGACCTATGGCGGGTCAAAGTCAGACCATGGTCTCAGCGAAGGCAATTTCTAGCGAATCGTCCAATCTTATAGGATAACTGAGTGTTTGACGAAGCCATACATCCCTGAGATGCTTTCCTAGTCATCAAAAATATTGAATGAACAAATTGCGTTGACCTAAGGTCAGGTATGAAGGTCAGATCAATGTCACAACGAACCTGATTTATTACTCTAGGGCTTGCTGTATGGGATAGTTTGTGGTGCTCATTTCGAATTTATTGACAGCAGGAACCGCATTATATATCTTCCATTGACTTCTTAGAGGTCAGAAAAGGTCATTGACCTAAGATGACCCAGGTCGACAGTTTGTTTTATGAACAAACTGCCTAGCGTAATCTTTGTCGCTATTCAAATGCAAAACTCAGAGCAGTCTTGTATGGTTCGGTCACCATGACCTTCAAAAGGTCAAACAAGGTCACCGAATTCAGATGGGTTTTTGAACTTTTGCTTAGAAACAGCTTCCTACGTTCTGGGGCATTTTCGCGATAACCTAGAATTTGACCTTGTTTGACCTTATTTGACCTGAAGGTCATGACCTAGGGAACTCAAAATTTGACCTAAGTGAGTTCACGTGCAGGTCAAGACACCCTGCAAATTTGTTGTTTCTAGCTTTCTTAGTTCCCGAATCTCAGGGGGTCAAATTGCCCCCCCCCCCCCACCCCACCTGGGCGAAGGGTATCTACCGGCCGCCCGGGCGCGTGTTAAGACAGGCTGAGGCTGCGACTTCATTCGTGGTCCGTTTCTTAGTACATGAGTGGAATGGCAGTTCAGTGGCATTCAACTCAATGGCAGAATCTTTTCAGTGCGGAAAACTGGCATTTGCTGTTGTAGAAACTTCAAGTAGTTACTTACTCCGGGTTTCTGAATGGGATGATGATCATTTGAAGCTTTAGGGCGCACCGACATCAAAGGTCAGCACCCATAACGGCGACTGTGCGTCAGAGAAAAATGAAAACCCACCGCATTCCATTGTAATGCTGTGGCGTTTCTTGTCGCGGCCTTGCATACGATTGGTTTTGTTTGATACTTAATCGACGGCAGTACTTATCTTTGGGCATAGTGAAATGTTCACTGCAAATATCGTGTCATAGAACATAGAACAGATAGAACCAACAGAGGTACATAGGTGGCCTGCTGCGCGTTTAAATACGTTCCCCCCCCACTCACAGATAATTCGCCTTGCAGTCTGAGGGATATAGTTCTCTGCAACTATGACATACAAGTACATTTGTAATGCTGAATGATTTACATTTGTTCAGGCATTCAAGTGTGGGGTAAGGGGCAATACAAACAGGTACATGAAAACCCTTACTCACACTAAGGCTATAACCACATGCACCTTTACCTCCACTTTCTCCATCGAAGATAAATATCAGGTACACCTCATTACAAGTAGCCAACAACTCCGCGAGGGCTGGGTTGTCATGGAGACGAAGTCCATGTCGGAACCAGTGAACTCCGACTGTTTTCGTCATCTCTGTCTCTGGTTGCTTCAATGTGAAACCAGGTGTAGATGGTGCTGATCACCTGAAATAGTGTTAAACTGTTAGACAATTTAAGAACAAACAACCATCTCATGGAAATGTACACAAGATGTACAAAATGGGGATGTTTCAAATTTGCAGATCCTGAAGCAAGCATGAGATATGATGAACCAACCTCACTTATATCTAGTGGAACACTTTTAAGCAGAAGACTGCTCAAGACAACACAATATTTGTGTTTAATAAATATGCTCCTCAACACATCATTGACCAATTATCATGATACCTTGCACAACATTGATTGGGAGCCAATCAATGGCTGCTATACCTGTATATTGTGCTCATGAATGCCATGTATGAACAGCTCAGCCATTCTATTCCTCTCGGCCTCAATTGCCACTGGCTTACGGATTGGCAGGAATTGAGTGATGCTATAATGATGTCATGAGTGCCAAGGTGACCTTGAAATACTCTCCCAATTTTCACTGATGTGTAGCTCAGGAACTAGAGCAGATTAGGTTCTAAGAAGGGTAGATCTATGAGTTACATCAAAAAGTCTTAAAGATAGCTCTTTCAGTTCAAACTCTCCTACAAATGTGGAACACTTCCTTCAATGTCAAACACATTAAAGGAAGTGTCTCTTATGTTACTGGTAGCAATGTTTCTGGACTGAAATATTTACAGAGAACAATACAAAAACAAACCTTTTACTATTACAAACTTCTCCAGACAAACCTTTGCCTTCAAACCTGCCACACCATGGGCCCTGTGTGTCCTACAGCATACTGCAATCACCAGCACTTCCACATCCTAGGCTCTGGTCTTTTCTCCTACCAATATGTAATCAACCTGTTTTAAGTGTGAAAACTTAGTGATGATGGGCACCCCACAGCCTGGGCAGCTGGGGTCTGAATGGAAGACGCAAGCAAACAATGGTGAGAATAACCTTCCTCTGAAATGAGCTGAACTGAGATTAGATTTTGGGTCCAATCACAAAAGTAACTACTACTCCCTGAGTGCCATGGTGGAAAGCATGATTGCTTACTGCAAGCATTCTAAGACAGGAGGTTTTCACTGGTTGAGAGCCTTAAGCCTCAAAATGAACAGCACGCTGATCATAATCAACACTGAGCACCAGAATTGATCAGGAGTTGATAAAAACCATGTTCAAGACCTGCAATTAAGCAATGAGCATTCTCATCACATATTTTGATCACTTGTCACATCACATATCTTAATCAGACCTATTCTTCCTATTATACTACAGATTTGTTTGTTTCCTGCGTACGACCTAATATTACCATTAAGCCAAGGCATGTCATGCTTCTTTCAAAATTTGTATGCCAAACATAAAAGGAAAGCGTCTCAAGGAAAAATAATGTGAGTGGCTTGAAGCACCAAGTACTTTTATTATACGCAATGTGTTCACTTAACTGTCCTTTCAACAGCCTTTTATGGTATATCAAAGGTCAATAACTCAGTATAACGGGATAAGACCTCCGAACACATAATGCCAAAAAAGAGCCAAATGCCTTTTTTATTTTATTTTTATCTAAATTTTATTATTATTATATTATTAAATTTTATTTTTATCTTATTTTTATTCTATTTTTATTTAAATTTTTAAACTACGGGATAGACACAATGGGTAAAAATGGGCAATGTCTCCAAATAGTCCCTGTTAAGCTATTCTTCTCACAGTTCTGAATATTCAATAAAACATAGGCAGATGCAACCAACAGAAGCATGTTTCAAAACAACCCTGGAGGTATAGCAAAGCAAGGTCTGAAGAGCTGTGAAAATCTGGAAACCTTCTTAGATTTAAGCCTACCAGGCCAGAGCAACTAACAGGCACCCTTCATACACACCCACCCACAACACAGGCAGTATTCTGGATCTCCCCTTGAGCAAAATGGCTTGGCAGGATGCAGAGCCACAAATCTGAGGGACACTACATGATCACTGCCCTGTCATGCAGGCATGACCACTGCCATCAACAGTAGGCCATCCAAGCCAAAAAAGTGGCAAACAACTAAGGCGACTAAAACCCACCGCAGCATGGGTGTTGATCAGGTGGCCACTTTAACCGCGGCTCTAACTAAATCAAGACAGGATCCTGCATGTTGGAGAATAAACCTAGTTCAAGCAAACTGTCCATGTTGATGACGTGGTTTGCTGACTGGCATCTGCATGATTTTCATAAAGGAATGGAGCATTAACTCCCAAAATACCAATGACTGTAAAACTGATAATCACAACACTCAACACAACACGCGCAAAGTACGAGGTGGGCCTATGCCAAGAATAATCATATTGCGTTTTCCCGTATCATTCAACAATCATTTATCATTCCTCGTGGTGGTTATAACGTTGTAAATTCATCAATTCACATCGAACACGAGCAACTAACACCCGCAACTACGCTTACCTGGCCACCCTTACGCGGGCCCCGCGGTACACTTCACTGAGTAAGAATAGTTTTTATTTTTGCCACCAGAGTACAATCTATTCGTTATAAACTTGCAAGTTAAATGGTAAAATCTTTTCAAAATTTTTATATAATAATTTTTAACAGCATCATTATGTAATGAGTTATTCAGAAGAATGCTAAAATATACTAGATGACATGGAAATTATTTGCGACCTAGTGGTGGAAGCAGCAGCTAATACATCCGTTAACGCGTAGTGTAAAGCTGCGCACATTGTGCGATTGGTAAGCGCTGCCGGTTCGTATATGTGCGTTTCTTTTTTAAGTAGTCGCTCTGCATTGTTTTAGGGTGTCATGAAAATGCTGTGATTGTTTTTAATTTTCATGTCCTCTGTATATATGGATATATCTGTTAAAGACGCTGAATCCGTATTCGTTCCCGCACCCCCACAACCACCACACAATGCCTAATTGAAGGGCTTTTCTGCCTTGCATATTGTATTCTACGCCTGCCTGATATCTACATGAAATACCAACATATGCTTATGCACTCAATCCCTCTGCCAGAAACTGTGTCCTGAACACACATGTTCAAGGCCAGCATTGCTTAATTTCTAGATGACATATATTTGGTATGTGAGTATGGTGATGTGTTTATTGAGTATATACATTAGTATATGTAAATGTTCTCTACATAAATCTGTGTCAGCTGACACAAGAATAAGATGCGGTGTAGGTGTACTTTCCTACCTAACATTAGAAAAAATCATTGCACACCATTCATCGTGTTTAAGGCGGCACATATCGTGAATAATCTCAAAACAGGTAGAATCATGCTCCTACCTTCGAATTTCAATAACTTCGATGGCGGGCTCCCGAGCGCCGCGCGCACTGCAACCGCCTGGACTCCCCAGCGCCGTTTCTGCTTGCCGTTGTGCAAATACAATATTTCTGCTTACCAAGAACTCTACAAAATGTACGGGACCAAGGTAAACCATTCGTCGTGTTCAAGGCGGAATGTATCGTAAATAATTTCAAAACAGATAGAATCATGGTTCTACCCTCGAATTTGATAAATACGATAGCGAGCTCCCGGGCGCCGCACGCACCGCACCGCACCGCCTCGACTCCAAGCGCCGTTTTCTGCGTTGTTGTGAAAGCACAATATTTCTGCTTATCAAGAACCGTAAAACATGTACGGGACCAAGGTAACAATAATAAAGAAACCAAAATCGTTTCTTATCAAGTTTAGGTACATTTATGAAACACACTGGCCAGAATAGTCCAGAACATATCCTAAACTAGCCTAGCCTAACCTAACCTAACCTAACTGAGAATAGACCAGAACCTAAGCTAAGCTAAGCTAAGCTAGCCTGACCTGACCTGACCTGACCTGACCTGACCTGACCTGACCTGACCTGACCTGACCTAACCTGACCTAACCTAACCTAACCTAACCTAACCTGAGAATAGACCAGAACCTAAGCTTAGCTAAGCTAAGCTAAGCTAAGCTAAGCTAAGCTAAGCTAAGCTAAGCTAAGCTAAGCTAAGCTAACCGAACTGAACCAAACCAAACCAAACCAAAACTGAACCGAACCAAACCGAACCTAACCTAACCTAACCTTACCTCCCCACCCTATATCCCCTTCAACCCAGCATCCCATTGGCGTCCATGTTCCATGCCATATATAGGTGCCATATAGTGAGCTTTTATTTAGCTGCCATGTTCTCATTTTGCTTTACATTCCCCACCCAATCCCCCTGCAGCCCATGGTCCCGTTGGCGTCGAGGATCAAATTTCACGGATTCTTGTTACCTTGGCCCGGTACATTTTTATGGTTCTTGATGCTGCTTGATGCGCAGTAATGTTGCGACCCGCGCAGTAATGGCGCCGGTGTCGCAGGTGCTGTGTGTGTGCGGTGCTCGGGAGCTCGCCATCGCAATTATAAAAAATTGAAGGTAAGATCATGAATCTACCTGTTTTGTGATTATTTACCATATATCCTGCCTTCAACATGATGAATGGTTTACTTTGGTCCTGTACATTTTGTAGAGTTCTTGGTAAGCAGAAATATTGTATTTACCCAGCAGCAACGCAGAAACGGCGCTGGGGAGTCCCGGCCGTGCGGTGCGCGCGGCGCTCAGGGGCCCGCCATCGAAGCTATTGAAATTCGAAGGTAGGAGCATGATTCTACCTGTTTTGAGATTATTTACGATATGTCCTGCCTTAAACACGACGAATGGTGTACAATGATTTTTTCTAACGATAGGTAGGAAAGTACACCCTGACCTAAGATGCTATTTCATAGGCGTGGTGCATGTATGTTTTGTCAGAAATGTGTGCATATTCAACCATTTACAATCATGTTATATTACAGGCATGTATGTATTTCCCTGGAACTTGATATGATGCACAACATAAATTCCATGACAATCTGGTATTTTTGCTGATGTTCATGTTGCACACATTTCGCACCCTGAACAATGTAGCACAATGTAGCTGAAAACTTAAAGAATTACACTCACCATTGGACAGAACTCTGGAAGAGTGGTACCTGGCTAGATAAATAGGTGCTATTAAATAAATAATATTTACACAACCAAATCAAATAAGTATGATGATAATGATGATGATTTGGACCTTTGGGTGCATTAAGTACAAAAGTCATGATGCCCATCTGAAATAAACAATGTTGTAGTCATGACAAAAATGGCAAAAACATTGCTTTAATATATATTTTAACATTTCTTACACATTTACTCTGCCTTATATTGTGCTGCAGACAAATTTTACTCTGGATTGGGGGGGGGGAGGCTTGGCAGGCTTGAAGGAGTGGTGAGTAGAGAGAACAGCTTTCTGTTTTCCCAACTAGAGAATAGTTTAATGTTTATTCAGTGTCTTGCACCAAAAGGAATCACTTTAAAAATGACTGCTTTTCACCTGCTACATAGCACTTCTGCTGCCACCACCTTAAGTATAATACAATTTGAATCTACTCAAGCCTGAAAAGTCCTCTGAAATTTTCAAACAATATACTGATGTGTTTGGGTACCTTCCAGCCTCTTTGTGACCCAGTAGTGGCTGCTCCACTCCACCTCATCAGCCACCTACAACCATGCTGCGTACCTGCGCGCGGCGCACGTGGCGCTGCCGCCGCCAGCTGGAGCCGTGCGGCGGCGCGCGCCCCTCGTGCCATCTGCACACGAGCCGGGCGCGGCCGGCGGACAGTGAGGACGCGCCGCCGCCGTCGCCGCCGGCGCCCCGCCTGCCCGGCCAGACCATCCCGCGGGAGAAGGCGCCGCCGGCAGAGGACCCGTTCTCGCGCGTGGCGCGCCTCTTCAAGGCAGACATGCGCTTCCTGTGGGAGGGACACCAAAGCCGCACCCACTACCCGTCCCACTGCGACGTCTGCATCATCGGCGGCGGCATCATGGGCTCGGCCATCGCCTTCTGGCTGAAGCTGCGCGCCGGCCCGGCGGTACAGGTGGTGGTCGTGGAGCGCGACTCGACGGTGAGCGCTGGGGGTCAGGACTGGAAATGTGGTGTCGGTGGTGCTGGCGCGAACAGAGGGCCGGGGATGGTTGTGTTCCGTCTAAGCGACGTGGTGCTCTAGTCAGGTGTTGATGTGGTATTGTGTTGACTGGGTAGTGCGTCCGCGCCTTTCGCCGGCTGTGAACACACCCGCGTCTTTCGCCGGATGTGAACGTCGCGATTTCGTGTAGATATTGGGAAAAAGGAATGAAACATGAAGACATTTGATACACAGCTAATACAGCTGAGGCTGAATGTCATTCCACATGCGCGATCCAGCCACACTGGCCAACCCCCGCCACCAGCTTCTAGTAAAGCTTCTGGCGATGGCTGCGTGACTGCCTGATAGGCGACCGGCTGATCTCCGCCTCCCGTCCCCCTCCCCTTCCCCAGCGTCTGTCCCCGCTGACCCGCCGCCGACCTGTCCACAGTACCGGACGGCGTCCACGCCGCTCTCGGTCGGCGGGCTGCGCCAGCAGTTCTCACTGCCCGAGAACATCCAGATGTCCATGTTCTCGGCGCAGTTCCTGCGCAACGTGAACCGCTTCCTGGCGGTGGAGGGCGAGGAGCCGCCGGACGTGCAGTTCCACCCGCAGGGGTACCTGATGTGCGCCGCGCCCGACCGGGCCGCCCGGCTGGAGGAGAACTACCGCACCCAGATGTACGTGCCATGTCAGCCGAGTGTGCGTACCACGTCACCCAGATGTACATATCACGTCGGCTGAGCATGTGTGGCATGTCACTGGGGTGTAAATGCCATGTGGTGTGAGTGTATGTGGCTTGTCACCCAGATGTATGTGCCATGTCAGCCGAGTGTGCGTGCCATATCCCCAGATGTACACATTGTGTCAGCTGAGTGTGTGTGACATGTCATCTAGATGTACATGTCATGCCAGTGGAGTGTGTGTCATATCATGCAGGTTTGTATCTCATGTTACCCATGTGCCTGTGCCATACCCTATCTGGCCTAAGCTGTTTATAGACCGACCTGACCTGGCCTGTAAACCTCTCTACATTGACTGGTGTGGCCTGACCTGACCTTCATGACCTGACCTGACCTGACCTAGATTGGCCTGGCCTGGCCTTGCCTAGCTAGTGTTGAATATTTCTCACGATGGATACTATAGCCTTGGTCCATGTTTGCACCACACCTGGTTCTGACTAATTAAATATTGCAACATGCTGTCAGCTGACATCTCACTGTCCCACATTGCACCTGGTGGGCGCATACTGGATTATCCTGTGTGCTACCTCATGTGCATAATAAACCATCCCGAACATGGCTATCAAGGATTTCACATGTTGCATAACCTGGCTGCACTCAGATGTCCACACCCTCGTGGCAAGCCTGTGCAATATGCGTGTACGTCCGCTATCCACGCACGTGAGACGTTGACGTCCTCTGTTCACGCACGTGAGACGTTGACGTCCTCTGTCCACGCACGTGAGACGTTGATGTCCTCTGTCCACGCACGTGAGACGTTGACGTCCTCTGCCCACGCACGTGAGACGTTGATGTCCTCTGTCCACGCACGTGAGACGTTGACGTCCTCTGTCCACGCACGTGAGACGTTGATGTCCGCTGTCCATGCACGTGAGACGTTGATGTCCGCTGTCCACGCTCGTGAGACGTTGACGTGCTCTGTCCACGCACGTGAGACGTTGATGTCCTCTGTCCACGCACGTGAGACGTTGACGTCCTCTGTCCACGCACGTGAGACGTTGATGTCCTCTGTCCACGCACGTGAGACGTTGACGTCCTCTGTCCACGCACGTGAGACGTTGATGTCCGCTGTCCACGCACGTGAGACGTTGACGTCCTCTATCCACGCACGTGAGACGTTGACGTCCTCTGTCCACGCACGTGAGACGTTGATGTCCGCTGTCCACGCTCGTGAGACGTTGATGTCCGCTGTCCACGCTCGTGAGGCGTTGACGCCGTGCCTGCTCGGCTCCCGACAGTGAGAACGGCGCCAAGGTGGAGCTGATGACGCCGGCCCGGATGAAGGAGCGCTTCCCCTGGGTCAACACGGACGGCGTGGCGCTCGCGTGCCACGGCCAGGAGAACGAGGGATGGTACGTGTGCTCGCGTGCCACGGCCAGGAGAACGAGTGATGGTACGTGTGCTCGCGTGCCATGGCCAGGAGAACGAAGGATGGTACGTGTGCTCGCGTGCCACGGCCAGGAGAACGAGGGATGGTACGTGTGTTCACATGTCATGACCAGGAGAATGAGGGATGCTACGTGTGTTCGCGTGCCATGGCCAGGATAACAAGGGATGGTACGTGTGCTCGCGTGCTCGCTCCCGCTCTCACCAGTCGCCATGTTGCTTATCACAGACGGAGAACGATGAGTAGTAAGCGTGCTCTGTTCTCACCGCGCGCCTCTTTGCTCCGGACTGGCTATGCACGCTGTTGATAGCGATAAGTGGCTCGTGCGCTCCCTGCTGTTGCACTTCCACCTGCGTGACATGGTTAGGGGAAAGGGAGACTGTTGTGTACTCACTTGCGAGTGGCGTGGGTAGGACTCAGCCCGCCTTAGTGGTCAGAGTCACGGCGGAGAACGGGGTAGGAATTTTCTCCCTTTCCCCGACTTGTGGCTGGGCTGACCCAGAATGGCTTCAGGGGATTGCTGAAACCATTGGGCTCACGTGCTGAATTCACAGAAACCACTGGCGTTTGCCGCAGGTTTGACCCGCACTTGCTTCTGCGGGCGTTCCGACGCAAGGCCACACACATGGGGGTCGAGTATGTGGAGGGCGAGGCGGCCGGCTTCGAGTCCAGGCAAGTGCGCTGCTCACGCTCAGTTAATCTCGCTGATGTCGCAGGGGTTCCTGTGGTCACGATCATGACGTTGTTTCAGCCGCCATCGATCACGTTCAAGACCGGTTGGTGCTTGATGCTCTGATACAGTTGTCACCCACCGCTCGAGTCATTCGTGAAACTGCCACTACTTGTACCGGACATTGTTCGTGCCCTGTTGTACTGGAGCGTGGTGGCCGACCTGAGCCGTGTCGACAGATACGTGGCGAACATGCAGGTCGCGGGCAGGCAGTCGGTGGCGGGGGGCAACTACGTCCTGGACCGGGTGGTGGTAAGGCACGGCGCGAGCCGAGCACTGGTGACTGTGTTCACTGGATGGTGTCACAGACCGTGGCTAGGCGCTGGATGCGACCTGGGATGAGCTGTGGCGAAGGGCTTTGTGGCGTCATGTTATTTATTCCGCGTGATAGGAAATGCGTATGTGCCGGTATGTATTTGAGTTTACGTTTGATTAGTAAGGGCACCTTAGGCTGGTGCCATCTACCGGAAATGGCGTTCGTTGGACTGCATCCGAAGAGCACCTTTGTCAAGTCGCGCGTTTAAGGTGGTGTTAGTGGGTGGCCGAGGCGCGGAAGCCAGCCTTTGTTCGTCGCGGGACGTCAGTCCATTTTTTCTTTAAATGCGCCTTGTTCAGGGGGCGCACAACGCCAGCAGGCCGGTACAGTGTGGCGCAGTCGGACCGTGCTTCTCACGTGGTGCCAGTCAGCGTAGCCGAGTCGCATCAGCCGGGCTTCTCACGGCGTTTCTCATGTGACGTCAATGACGTAGCTTCGGTGAGCTGACGGACTGCGCCGAGGCGGCGACGCCACAGTGACGTCACACCGGTCGCCGCAGGTGCGGCAGGCCGACGGTGAGGTGAAGACGGTGAAGGCGGCCGTGTTCGTGACGGCAGCCGGCGCCAACACGGCCGAGGTGGCCCGCCTGGCCGGCATCGGCGAGGGCGAGGGCCTTCTGGCCATGCCCGTACCCGTCGAGCCCAGGTGCGCCGCCACCGGCGCGCGCTCCGGCGAGCTCGGGTGAAACGGCGCGCACGGTGCGCCGTTTTGAACGGCCACACATGTGACGTCATTGTTGGCGTAGCGACCTTTGGTCTCAAGGGATGCCGCTCAGGTCGGGACTGAAGGATGTGCGCCAGGCGGCGTGTGTGATCAGTTTTGCGTCTTTTGCGTGTGATATCGCTCCGCCAAGCTGTGTACTCGCACCTTTGATGGCGTGTTCGGGGTGTGATGCCGTCCCGGACGACGCTCGACCCCTGGTGTGCTGACGTACGCGCGGGCACCGCCGGGGCGTGGGCTGCACCCGTGCGTCTGCGCCCACTTGATGACCCGTGCGCTCACGCCACCTCGTCACTGCCGTCTCTGGAGGCCCCGCCGACGCCGTCCTCAGCTGACGGCCGATGACGCGCCACCCTCCGCCGCCAGGAAGCGGTACGTCTACTTCTACCACTCGCCGGACGGCCCGGGCCTCGACTGCCCGCTGCTGGTGGACCCCACGGGCACGTACTTCCGGCGCGAGGGGCTCGGTGGCCACTACATCTGCGGGAAGTCTCCCACAGGTCAGGCGGCTACGGCCAGTTTTGCCGCGCGCCACGCGCTGTTGACCTGCCAAGTGTGCGTCGTGAGCCCTGCGTGAGGGACATTCAGGAAACGTGCGAACGGTGTTGGAAGCTCTTGAAAGAAGTCCATAGGGCGCTGTTAAAAGGTTGCAGTCTGCACAATGATTACAAACGCGTCAGCTAGCGCACGTTTGTTTGCCTTTTTCCCTTACGGGGTACGGATGGTCTAGCTTATACGAATGGGCACGTGTGGGTGAGCTACTACAGGGTCACTGTTAGTTAAGCTGGAGGTTCACACAACACAGGCGCGTGTAGCGAAAGATGTCATGTTCTTTTAGCACTATACTGACCCAAATACAGAATGATATGAATCGTGTTGCCACCCTGCTGTTGTGTTGGGACCTGAGTTGTTAGTAATGTCACACACATCCACAATCCACTCATGATTCACCTCATCCGCCTGGTTTTCGAGTCGCTTGAGCCCTGCGTCCCAGTTCGCCCCAGGTTGTGTTGTCCGCTCCGCCCTCGCCCTCCGTCGTTCCCCGCTCGCGCCCTCCGTGGCTCCCCGCTTGCACCCTCCGCGGCGCTCCCCGCTCGCGCCCACCGTCGCTCCCCGCTCGCACCCTTCGTGACGCTACCCGCCCTCTCTCTCCGCCCTGGCTCTCCGTGTCGCTCCCCGCCTAGCCCCCCCTCCCGTCGCTCGCCGCTCGTGCCGCGTGCCAGCTGTCCGCGACGCGCGCCCTCACGGCGTGTGACCTGTGACCTCGCTGCGCAGGAGCGGTCGACGACCCGGAGCCGGACACTGGTGACTTGGAGGTGGACCACGGCTACTTCCAGTCGCACATCTGGGCCAACCTGGCGGCGCGTGTGCCTTCGTTCGAGAACCTCAAGGTAGCTGACGCGTTCTGCCGAGGCGGCCCGTCCCGTCGTGTGCGTGTGGGGGGGGGGGGGAAGGGGGGGGGGAGCGGGTGGCCGCGTGCGTTCCGTAGTGCTTGCCGCCATTCTGCCGGTGCACAAGTGGTCAGGTCTGCACACAGGATAGGTGAAGGAAGGAGGCCCCATGGGAGCAGTCCATGCTGTGGCTCGACAGAGGGTGTTGCGTGCGCGTGTGACGCCTGTTTTGTCGGGTGTTTGAGCCTCTTGTGTACGCTTAGCGGTGCTGCTGTTCGCGACTCAGCTGTGCGAAGTTAGCTGCCCTTCGGACACCGGTATTTCCCTCATTACAGCGATGTCTCCGGGGCATGTATATTCGCGGCGATGAGGGCGGGTGGTACGCCTCCACCTCGTGTGCGCCCCCGCTGGTAGCCTCGTATTCTCCGTCGGATCGCGCGGAAAGAGACGCGTCGCGGCGCACAGCAGCCGAAACTTTGCACGATGCTGGCGCGTTATGGCCCACACCTCGCGCCACGTCCGTCGCGCTCCACACAAGAGCCAGTGTGTTCCCTTCTCGCCCTCGCCCCACCCGGTGTTGAGTGTGACGCACGCGGAGCGTCGCGTCCGGTGGCGCCGCTGACAGGCCGCGGCTCCGCAGGTGAAGAGCTCGTGGGCGGGTTTCTACGACTACAACACGCTGGACCAGAACGCCATCATCGGACCGCATCCGTACCACCACAACATGTTCCTGGCCACCGGCTTCAGCGGACACGGTGAGACACGCAGACACAGACACGGGGTGAGACATACAGACAGAGACGCATGGTGAGACGCGCAGACACAGACACATGGTGAGACACACAGACACAGACATATGGTGAGACACGCAGACACAGACACGGTGAGATACACGGTGAGTCGCGCAGACACAGGCACACGGTGAGATACATGGTGAGACACGCGGTGAGACACGCAGACACAGACACGCGGTGAGACATACGGTGAGACACACAAACACGGACACAGACACACAGTGAGACATACAGACACAGACACATGGTGAAACACGCAAACAGAGACACGGTGAGATACACGGTGAGTCGCGCAGACACAGACACACGGTGAGATACATGGTGAGACACGCGGTGAGACACGCAGACACAGACATGCGGTAAGACACACAGGCGCAGACACACGGTAAGATACACGGTGGGACCCGCAGACAGCCACGCGGTGAGACACGGTGAGACACGGCGAGACGCGCAGACACAGACACACGGTGAGACATATTGTGAGACACATGGTGAGACGCGCAGACACGGACACACAGTGAGGCCGGCAGGGCGAAAATACTGGCGCTGGTTTTTATGCGAGGTGGTTTTGGCGTTGTTGGACGCTCGGTACATAACGAGTTTTTCGCTGGGTGGTCTTGCAGTCTTGGCTATACATCGGGATGACCATCGTCCCGTGGGAATGGGAGTTGTCTGGCCCATACCGTCACGTTCCAGCGCACATTCCAACAGTGACGGAGTCCATCCGCCGGCGGCGATGGTGGGCGCGGCGTCTGCGCGACACTCATGCCCGCCCCCGCCCCGCGCCGCCGCCATGTCCCTCCCACAGCCGCACCGTCCGTCCGTGGCTGGCGGCCGGGCCGCGGTAATGGCCTCCGACGCTCGGAGTCCATCCGCCGGTGGCGGTGGTGGGCGCGGCGTCTGCGCGACATTCATGCCCGCCCCCGCCCCGCGCCGCCGCCATGTCCCTCTCCACAGCCGCACCGTCCGTCCGTGGCTGGCGGCCGGGCCGCGGTGCCGGCCTCCGACCCTCGCCACCAAGCGCCAGAGGATCTCCGACTGCGTGACCCCGGGACCTCCGACCTCTGACCTCTGACCTCCGACGTTCGCCGCCCGGCCGCAGGTATCCAGCAGGCGCCGGCGGTGGGACGCGCCATCTCCGAGCACATCCTGGATGGGGAGTTCCGCACCATCGACCTCACCCGAATGGGATTCAAGCGCGTGCTGGAGAACAAGCCGCTGCTGGAGCAGAACATCGTGTGACGACAGCCGCCGAGGCGGTACGCGGGGCTGGCGGGCGGGGGTGGGACGGTACGCACTCGTAAGGGATCTGGGACAGCTCCGGGAAGGGCACCCCAGAGGCGGATGGGAGACCCAGCGGGCGGCGATGTAGGCGGCAGACGGGTGGGACGCCCGGCCAGGCCGGCCCGGTGCGGAGGCTGGGTGGGACCTCCGGCCGCGCGCCCAGCCGTAGTCACGTGCTAGGGTGGCTCTTGTGCTCAAGATGAGCCCACCTCGGCCCGAGCGGGGAGAGCTGTGCCACCAGCAGCGCGGCAGGTCGCTGTGGTGCGCCAGGCTGCTGTGCCAGTTGTTACCTTTCTAGTTCTTGACAAACTTAGTGTGGCTGACTAGCCGTCACTGGGAATGTTTGCCCGTGCTAGACCTGTCGTGCAATTTGTACTGTGTGGTTTGCCAGTTTGTTTTGTACAAGCCGCGGCGTGTAAAGCATGAACGCTGGCGAGCTGCCCTGGGTCGGCCTGCGACGGCTGGTACTTGTGAGGCCGTGATCTTCGCTCAGCGGCGGACGGCCGTGACGTAGGCGGCTGCGATGACGTAGTGTGCACCTGTTAGCGCCCAGGATGAGCCGAGTCTGCGGCGTCGATGCACTCGGTGGTGCGACGCCGCGACGCCGGTGAATCGTGGTGCGTGTAACCTAGTCGCCCAGCGGTAAAGACATCTGATAATGGGTATCTGACAATCGGCATCCCGTTTAACGAATGAATAACTGCCTCTCGTGGACACGGGATGCGTTACCATGCGATCTGACCGAAGTGACGTCATGGCCGCACTCCGCCACTCATGTCCGTGGAATGCGTAATCATGCCACAGTCAGCGACCCTTTGTGACGTGACAACCCCACCTCTGCGTTGACGGTTCGCCAAGCCGTCGTGTTTGGCCATAACGTCCCGGCACTGGCCCAATGGCTGCGTGCGACCCCGCCGGTCTTCGGCCAGTTATGAGTGCCACCCGCTGGGTGGGGCGCGGCGCGCGAGCAGTACCGGCGGGCGAGGCCGTGTTGGGCGGCCGGTGAGGTCCGGTCTGGGGAGAGCAGTGCCCAGCGGGTCCCGCTGGTGCCGCCCCATTGTGACGCCCCAGGCAGCGGCGGGCCGCTGGGGCCTCATGACGGCGGTGCTGCAGCGTACGCCGCGTTAGAAGATGAATGCTCGTCAAATGTTCAGCCAATACAAAGACGGTGATATTTGCGGTGCGTCACTGAATACCGTGCCGTCTCGAGCGGCAGGCGTCTGCCTTCTATCGCGCCAAATTCTCGTCGCTAGACCGGTTCGCCCGCCTGACGCGCGGCCGCCTGCAGATTGGTACGCCGGAACGCAATCGCACAGCGTGTATTCAATCGGCAAACAACCGCACTGGCGGCCCACGCCACCCAGCCCGCTCCTTCGGAGGGTACGGGCAGCACCGCACACCCCACAGGTAGCGGGTCAGCGGCGCAGCCAGCCGCACCAGTGCCCCGGCCTCGCGCGCCGGGCGCAGGCCGCGCCACCCAGCCCGCTCCTTCGGAGGGTACGGGCGGCACCGCGCACCACACAGGCAGCGGATCAACGGCGCCGCCAGCTGCACCAGTGCCCCGGCCTCGCGCGCCGGGCGCAGGCCGCGCCACGTGCCTCCGACGCGGCCCCCGGGCGGCTATAGTCGTCGCGCGCGCCAGTCCACTTCCGCCCAGCACCGCTGGCGGCGGCCGCGGCCGGCCCTAGCTCTGCTGGCTCGGGGGCTGGAAGAAACCGCTCTGCTTGCTGGCCGCCCGCGACGGCGCGAAGCCCAGCAGCTTCTGGATGTTCTGCAGCGCGACGGGGAGGGGCTGTCAGTCGGGGTGCGGCCCGGATACCGTGGAGGGATCTGACGGATCCTGCTGCGGATCCGACGGGTTCTGCCGTGACGTTGCTCACATGCGTGAAACAAAATTGATAGTGGATACATTGCAAAACAGTCGCCGATTAGGCATACGCACAAACTAACTGCGTTTCCAAGCAGCTGGACTATACCTGTGCACGAAAAGAAACCATCGAGGCCCTTCCATAATCCAAATCTGCATCGACATCGACAGAAAGGCGTCCATCGACGCTGCGAGAGCGGGCGAAGGACGCCGCCGAACACTCGCCTGTCTGATGGACATGGTGCAGAGGATGTAGAGGAAGATGAAGGAGCAGTCCCTGAAGTCCTCGCCCACCAGATTCCGGTGCGACAAGCCGCGCACGAACGAGATCGGCTCGAAAGGTAGACGAGCCACCACCCGGCCGTCAAAACTGAAACGCCATGGACGAAGCCGTCACAGCCAATGAATGCCTGGCACACAACGCCAGTGACGTCATCGTGTGACAGTGGCAAACTGAGCATCACGCCGCACCGATGACAAACTGAGCATCACTGCCGGAGAATGGAGGTGGCGCAACGAGCAGGTGCAACCGACCGCATATCATCGAGCTTTACGCCTGAGAAACAAAGTCATGTCGACGTAGGCCGATACAAACTTGATCGAACAGCATTTCTGTCCAGCGTGTACGTCTTACTAGTAGTCCGGAAAGAGCAGACACGAGAACGATGCCAGTATTGCGCCGAATATGCTGTACATGTGACAGTTCTGCGAGGCGTCGTGACGCACAGCGTCGACTTACATTGAATTGAACATGCTGAGGAGAGCAGTGAACGTGAAACCGATTGCAAACATGGACTTCATCTTGACCATGGAGAGCTCGCGACTGTTGGTTTTTAGCCTCTCTTCCTCCCTCTCGATCTTCTTCTTTTGTTGCCGATCGCTGGCGTCTCCCCTAGCCTCCTTTTTCCGCTCCACTGCGGGACACGCACATCACATATATGTTGCAGCCCCGCTCAAATACATTTCTAAGGCCGCGTGCTACATGACGATTGCAGTTGGCGCGCCTTCAAGCACCACAAAACGACAAATACCAGCAGTAACACTGTTGTCCATCCTACAATGCTGGCAGGAGGTAGTTAGTGGTAAGACAGTCCGAAAAATTATATCGGGTGGTACTGGGCCAATAATGGTGCACAAATAATCAATGTCAGCATCATCTGTTTACCCTTCATAGTGAAAGGTCGCGAAGCTTTAAGTAAGGAATGCGTCGCGCGCGCAAAACGCCGAACTTACGTTTTTTGCTCTGCCTTTCTACTTCGGCCTTGAGCTTCTGATACTTTTCACTTCGGTAAACTAGCAGCCATGTGAGTCCTTGAAGGCAAGAATGATACCACAGGATTAGATGATCATCAACATATAACAAAAACAGTGTAACATCTAGCACAAAATGCATCAGATGTAGATCCAGTTCACACATGCAGATGTGCAGATGTAAAGCTTGTAATAACAATCCAATGTGGATGTGGCATCCAATGCTCACCTTGAAAAATTATGGACTTTTCACCCAACTCAGGATGGCAAAATATCTCCCGGCATTCTATCCCATATCAAGGTATAATGCATGGTTGTTAATGACATAAAATGCATGAAAGGAATATATTCTGGCTAATCCATCACTTGCTCCTATTATCTTGAAAAAAAGTTTCAAAATATTTAAAAAGAACTGCCTATGTATGGCCAGCCAGGAGCATTTGCATGTCCTCTAGGGGGAGCAGCAGTACTACCCAACACCCTGGGTAGTGTTACTCAGCATCATGGGACTCTACCTAGTACTCTGAGGTGCCACCCATCACTCTAGACTACCTGGCATGCTGGGGCACCATCCAGCACCCTAAGTTGCCACCCAGCAGCCCAGCTGGACAGTGGGAGCAATGAAAGCTGAAACTTTACATTTAACACCTGGGAAGACATATATAAAGCATAGTTATGCATCTACCCCCCCCCCCTGCACACACTGAGAATTTCTGTCAATTTTGCCTTACAATTTATGTCATGACTGGAAAGCCATTGGTAGTGGTGCTTCTGTTATTGCTCTTTTTAGTCCACGGGACAGCTGCCTAAGACAGAAAGAAAGACATCACTATCTCTGCTTTTTAATATTTGACATGGTTGCAAACCTGTTTCATAATCAGTAGAAGTGTTAGTAGAACTGTAGTAGTGTTATGTGGAATTCACATAAAAATAGCATAATTGTTTGACAGGCAAAATCACTATAAAAAGGTGAAAAGATACTTACAAGTCAGAAAAATCAACATTCTCAAAAGGAATAACTATCGGTATTCCAAAAAGTAGCTGACTCTAAAATCCAGATGAACCACACTACAAATTGTTTTACTTTTACATATGGGTGCAACAGATCAATATGAGAATGAATTGCCTTGTTTCTTCATAAGTGTCCTCATTCATGTGTTGTGGATTATTGTTCATGTTTATATCAGACACACACACATGTCCGCAATATACAAAATAACCCAATAATTGCATTTCTACCTTTCCTTTATATCACCCCTGGTTTGGGAAGCATCACTTATAACTTATTCACAGTGAATTTCAAATTGGGGTAAAAAAAATCAACAAAGCTAGGCAATATAAATCTAGCAGGTTTTTTATGAAAAATATAAATAACCCAACCATATCATATACCATAATACTAACATATAATAGCAATATTGGATCAAGCTTCTGTCTGATGTCACTGGATCACAAATACACCCAACTTTGATGCTTTCTATGCAGAATTGTTCAGTGACACATTTTAACCCAAGTTCCAAAATACCATGATGCAGGCAGTTTTTTGGACTCATGCTGATGTAACTTAATTGTTCTGATTAAATCTGGTCACCTAGACCACCATATCAACACACCTTAGTGTCATGACTTACGTTGGTGCTGATTGTATATATTTTATCATATTTCAAGACATGGTAATTCAAACATATTTCAACCCCTTCACGTTTGCATACTTACCTTCTCCAAACAATGCAGTGCATATTGATATAAAAACAATAAGAATGGTGTCAGAAAACATGTCGTAGGCAGTGGTTTGGCACTATCTTGACAATCCTTGTCTTTAAAGTCAAGTAGCTGCCACCTTCCTACCCTGCACGAGATAATATCCTTATTTATTTGCCACGTTACTCCAAACACGACTACACCAAACACTTCCAGCAACTTCACGCTTCACTGTACCCTAAATGCATCTTGGCGAGGCCACTATTTGTCTTATGTGTGTTATAAATGTAGTACATGATTTGTAATGTTTTTTCTTCCTTTATGTGTCCCCGCATCATACACAGTGCTGCTTGCTGCCTATCATGCAGCTATGTGTGCTCGTATTCCCTAACTCCAGAGCACCGCTCAAAGCTAAGAACGGTCAAAGCGTCGGGAGATGCGAATCGCTCTTTCCGGCGCACCATTCCAGCGACCCCGTGGCCACGTCATTCTGCCCCAGCCAGCCGCGCCCAACTGAGCTCAGGCGTTACCGTACGCCAGACGAGATGGGTCCCGCGGTAACCCACAGCGCAACCACAACGCCCGCCCGCAAGGCGACGGCACCGATGAATGAAGGGCCGCTGGAAACGGCTCCTTTCGCTCCCTTCATAAGCACCTTCACTTTAAGGAACAGGAAAAAACGATGCATTAGACTTGCCTTTAAATATGTAGCTAGGGTACCGCTGCGGTGCCGCACCGCCCGCTCGCTGCCAGCGCGGCCGTGCACACCAGCAGGCAGAGGACTGTTGGACGAGCCGCTCTCAGTCGGTGGTCCGTGCCGGCGCCGGTGATACAGCCGGTGTTGATCGGGCCGGTGCTTCAGCCGGCCTTGATCCGGCTGGCGATCCAGCCGGTCTTGATCCCGCCGGGATCCAGCGGGTCTTAATTCAACATAATTTATGATGTATTACACTTGATCCAGATCAACTTTTTGCTCCGCTATCCTAATAGTCTTACTGTTAACCAACACACCGTGCAGGCCATTTATTGTACCGACCGTCGCCAAGTGTTGGCTGACCCGGAGAAGGACCTAAGAATACCTGGTTGCAGAAATCCGTATATTTCAGGAAGTTTCTCGGAGATTCAAAGTTCAACACCACAATCTCGCATTTGGCATGCTGATGATCAGATTGTCTGCGGATTGAGCACACTCAACAGGTTTTCTGCTCGGATAGCACCGAAATCAAGTGATTATTGTGCTTTAGGCCATGGTACCCGCGTTGCACTAAGCCGTGAAAATGAGAGATAATTACATATGCGCCTGTTCATTGACGCACACTTACACTTTTTAGCTATAATAATGCTGGAGTGTAGGTTTTTGCAGTTGGCCATAGCAGTGTGAGTTTCCGGCCAGGCCTCAGTGTTGTAGTCCTCAAGCTCGACCAGTGGGATGGCGCGCGCCGCTGCTATCAGTGGGAGCTGAGGGAAACCTAATCTCGCTCTCGCTCTTGTCAGTAAGTCACGAGTTTCGTCGGGCGGTACATTCGTCTGTCGGTAGCAAGACAGTCCGGTGAGATAGCCCGTGGTCTTTGGCAAGTAAGAAGTTCGGCTTTGGAAGGCACCTGGTTTTTATTGTTTCGACCAGCGGCGCAACAGCGCAGACAACAGCAAGTGTTGCCATGGCGACCGTGAGCGCGACAGACGAGGAGACAGCTCGACGGGAGCAGCATGCCAAGGCGATGGCGGCCAAGCTGGCCCAGATGAAGGTACCGGATGACTGGAAGATCCTGCCGGCCGACCCCAACTACAAGAACCCCCTGGTGCGCCACTTCCGCCACCGTGGCACCGTGCTCACCAACTACCACCTGGTCAACGGTTGCGTCGAGCACTGGGCGCGCTTCCAGGCGCGTCCCACGGACATCTTCGTGGCCAGCTTCCCCAAGTCGGGCACCACCTGGCTGCAAGAGATCGTGTGGAGGATCGTGCACGGCGAGACAGGCGCCGGGGGCAAGGCCGACACGCCGCTTGAGTATCGCTTCCCCCTCCTGGACATGCCGTCGGCGGTGAACATGGAGATGCGCTCCGTCCACGAGATGGACGACCCGCGCCTCATCAAGACGCACCTGATGTACGACCTGCTGCCGCCCAGCGTGCACACCAGCGGCGCCAAGGTGCTCTACGTCACTCGCGACCCCCGCGATGTCTGCGTGTCCTACTACCACTTCTCCCGCATGGTCAACTACGAGAAGTACCGCGGCACCTTCCCGGAGCTCCGCGACCGCTTCGTGCGGGGCGAGGTAATGCACGCGCCCTACCGCGAGCACGTGCAGGGCTACCTGCGCCACTCCGACACCGTGCTCTGCGTGACGTACGAGCAGCTGCACGCTGACCGCGCGTCCGTCGTCCGTCGAGTGGCCGCCTTCCTCGGGCGGCCCGTGACCGACGACCAGGTGGAGAGCATCGTGAGGCACACCAGCTTCGGCGCCATGAAGGAAAACCCCGGCACCAATTTCCGCCACTGGGAGAAGAAGGGCCTGGTCACCGCCGGCCAGGAGGGCACCTTCATGCGCAAGGGGCAGGTGGGCGACTGGAGGAACTACTTCACCGAGGAGGAGGGCGACGCCTTCCTCAAGTGGGCCAACGAGCCGGTTTGAGGGCGGTGGCGGAGGAGGCGTGTGTCGCCACCGACCGGGCTGTTGCGGTGCGCGGAAGCGTCGGCATGCGCGCTGCACTGAGGAAGAGGTGTGTCTGACCGGTGACTGCACCGGAACCCTCGTGTGCGGCGTTTTTGCGCGAGCGTAGATTGCGTGCTGACGTGGAGTGCTGCGAGAGGACCTGCAGGAATGGTATTAGCAGTGCTGTAGATGTAGTTTGGTATTTGACGTTCTGGATGTATTTCCGAATCATGTAATACACACTTGCTACATGGAGAGTAAACGAGAGCAGATTGTTGTTATTTCATGTATTGCCATGCATCATTTCCCGCAGGATGAGTGCGCTAGAAGAGGCCACACTGAGGTTTATTCCGAAATAAAACTTCACAATCGCTAAAGATATGACGCTTGGTAGCTAAGTTTTCGATGCCTCTACAGACCCCATATAAAATGAAAAACCCCGTCTGTCACAGATTATGAGTGTTGACCATTTTGTCTGGTCGTTGTCGATTTCATGTTGTGTTTACTTATCCGGTAACGAGCTAACCTACTTTTGTCGCAGATAAGAATTGGAAGCGACCGTCCTACGTTTATTTGCTTTATCTTATTGCGGTAAATTGTAACGCGATTATAAACATACATTGCTCATCCGGAGGTCAAGCCATGTCTAATCCTCTACACGGAAAGCATACGAGGATATTTTTCTGTTATGGTCTGGTTGCATTTATTAAAAGTCGCACCACCTGGTCGGCATAACACTGGCATATGTTACTCAACGCGATTGTCTTCGCAGCCGTGCCAGTCTTGGTTTTTGAAGTAACAATGCGTGTAGGCACAAGGCTTAAGTCACACCACCCAGCTTAGCAGGGTTCAGTTTGAATGACTTGTTCAATTTGCGAGATCGAAGTTACGATAGGATAATTTGTGAACACTGGAGGAGATTTTAGGCACTTGGTGGTGGGTGCCTATGTGTATTCCTTGATCAAAAGGTGTGCATCTAACCGAGAGGATGTTTGCATGATACAGGACGAATCATAGGTCATTTAAGCCAAAGAAAACTCGCCTATGCACAACACGCTTGCATCGACAACATAGTATGTTTATAATGCTATAATGTGTGATGATATAGTACGATATGATAGGTTGTGGGGTTCTTGTGATGTTCATACGGTGCTCATGGTACTGTGATAAATGTGTTACTTACTGCCTATGCTACAACGACCGCAAGATTTCTAACTCGTGATCAAACTGGCCATGACATACTAAACTATGGGTCCATTTGAATGTACATACGCATGGCATATCAATCTAATAAAACAACTCCGACGTTATGCCAGCAGTGCTGGCTACTGCTTTTGGCGGCGCAGGGGGCCGGTCAAGACCCTCGTCACGCCCCAGCCAAAAGCGGCAACAGGCACGATCGAAGCAGCCAAAAACAACGGCGGCCTATTACTGAGGGCATTGGGCTCGCTGGTACGCATGGGGATACACTTGAGCACCGGAGGCATATGGAGGTTGTTTCCGGTGCGCTGCCCCGCCGGCATTGGGTCGATACCGTACCACGCGAGCGATACTGACCGCTGCCCCGGGTGAAGGGATAGCCGGCCATGCTTCCGACAACATCAGATCGCGAACGCCAAGCGGTGAAGAAGTCCAGCGTGCAGTCCGCGGCTCGCAGCTCAGCGAGCCGCAGATAACGGCTGTTCAAGCACGTTGGTCTCGTCCAGCATCGTGGGTTCGAGGCTGAGGCCAAACTCGGCAAGTGTTCCAGGCACGGTATCAGCACGCGGGTTTCATTTCCGCCTAACGAGGCAGGCCTTCCCGATGAGCAGGGGAAATCCTTCACGAGCGCCAGCTTCAAGTCTGTGCAGAGCACGCGACATGCAAAACTATTCCATATATCTAAAGCATACGACGTGACAAAATATTCCGAATGTCTCAAACCGTCTGACTGGAGGTATCAGCGTCCAGCGTGTAACTGGCGAGGCCTGCCGGGCGAGGACTTGGGCCCGAAGATTACAACAGCTGCGTTTTAAGGTTATCCTAGCGCTGAAATGCTGTGATCCTAACGCATAATGTTTTTGCGGCTGCCGTGCTTTGCGAAGCCCCGACCCTTGATTAAAACCATTGCAACGCGATGCGGTGCGGTGTGGGTGCCTTTCATCGCTGAAAATGTTGCAGTTTATTGCATGCGCCTGGGCCAGTCTAATGCAGTAAATTTTACAGTAGTCATTTTAATGACACACTTTGATCAAACAGGCCGTTACAAGGTCCCATCAAACTCCTTATAAAAACAATCTGATCATAAAGTGCACAGTGAAAACACTGCGCTGCGAATGTGCTGTTAAGTGCACTGTGTGATCTATATGCTCATTTAACCAGTGTTAATTTTCTGAACTAATAAGGCTGTAGCTCTAGCTGGGCCACAGCCTTATTCGTCCAGCTGGTTCGTTGCGAGCCTGCGCCATTTCCCAATTTTTAACTTGCCAAGCTGTTGATGATCGGTAAAATGTTTTCCGCAAGTAAGTACATAATTCTTAAGTACGGACTTCCTGATGTCGTGGTCCCACGTTGCGGCTCCACGCGGTGGCCAAGGACCCACCGAATGGCGTACTAAATCAGGCCACTGGCTACGAAGGGGCAGATACAGCGAAGAACTAGGCCTCTAATCCACTTGCGTGCGGCCTCCGTTTATTTTGTTCTTGTTTCTACTACCAATTTGTTCATTTTGGTAGAATGTCCGAAAGTGCCCATCTGAGTTGGGTCCACTAATTTCGCGCGCTATTTGCCCGTTCTGACCAAGGGTGACGGCACCTCACCTAGCGGCGAATTAAAGCGCTCGACCGTCTGCACCCCCGCTTGGAGTCCTGGACGCGCCTCTGCCACCGGCGCCGCTTTTATCTGGGCTTGTCGCAGGTCAGGACGAACGACACCGATCAGAGCGCGCGTTCGGTGCATCGCCACCTGCCCCCCCCCCCCCCCCCCCCCCCCTCCTCCCGCCGCGCGGACACCAGGCGTGGTCCCAGGGCACGCACGACCCCGCCGGTGCTGATGATGGGTCCACGAGTCAGCACATGTGTACCGCCGTCAGGAGTGTCTGAGGGCATGCAAATGGACGGGTCTGATCCCGTTTCACGCCCCTGACTAGGATAGTATTCATTACGCCAGCCGGCATGGAACGCGCGTGACGTGCTCTGTGCCGGGGACTGCATGTCTACAGCACGGTGGGATAGCCTCGATTTAAGCTGTCAGCAACACGCAAGCACTACAACAAAATGCGAGTTGGGAAGAACGCACAGTCACTACGGTGTTGGAGGAAATAACATAAAGGCATTATAACTGTATCTTCGAGAAAAACGACAGCATAACGACAGCACCATGCCGACAGAAGGCCACGACAGAGTAAAAGACAGCAGCTTAGCACGACCCCTAGTTAAAATTTGAAAAGTGCTTTTTTTTGTTCTCCGATTTAATGTAGGCTTAGATCCATGGCAAACCGCATCATCGCTTACATAGCTACAATAAGGAAATGTTTGAACAATATAGTAATTGCATCACATAGGAGTATCTCACCGTACCATTCGCATCTATCCATATCTATAAATCCAGGTCAGGCTTTTCTCGTTTTTACCCAGAAAACTACGCTGTCACTTCTTTGTAACTTACGCAAACTTTTGCAAGAGCAGTCTGTTATGTCAACACTATTGTCATATTTATACAACCTGTTCCCACAAAAATCAAAAGCTCACAGTGTCATTCTGAAGCGGGCGAAAATGCCTACACGCGCTGTGATTCGATCGCTTTCTATCGCTGCCTTGGATTTATCGGTTCGTGGCGTATCGTCCTTACCTGATAAGCCGTTTATATGCGGGTGTTCACCTTGGCTAGCGTACAAGGTCATGGCCTTATCGATTAGCCATTTTCTTCAGATGTCAAGGAGGCATGGCAGAACTCGAGTGGAAGCCGAACATCACCGAGTGACAAAAGGTGTCATTCGTAGACGAAGTCATTCATGCCATCTACTGGTCCCTTGTAGATGACACGAATAGGTGGAGCGTATTCCAGGCTTCTACTGGTCCCTTCCTCGCAGTTGTTGAGCCCAACTTCCCCCTTTTCGCATGTTTTGTCCACTATCACCTGACATGAGCGTCATGCAGAGGCACCCATGTCACTCGCTCATGTCCGCGTACACCTGGATCATAAGACTGACGTGCCCCTGGTGGTGCCCCCGGGAACGCCCCATAAAGATGGTGCAGCTTTCCGTACAATCGCCGCAGGTTTACCGTCTTGAAGAATTCAGTGCCGTGTTTATCTTTAAAAGGCTCAAATACAAAAGCCTTCTCGCGCCCCTCCGTCCCATGACATGTCCATGCCTTCATCTCATCTTGATGTTAAGCACCTTGATCTACTGCACACAGAATACAAACACAAGTCGTGTGATCGTTTGTTCTACTGTCGTCGTTGCGTTTGTTAACAGCATCATTTATAAACCAACAGCTTTTCTTCTGAGCAGCACGCTGATCTGTCACACGAGTACCCGGTCGTCGTTCAAAACTGGCAAGGCCGACATTAAAGCACCGCGCCCAACACACGACCAGTCGCGGTTGCCGCGGCGAGTTATTGCATGTGCAACAGTGGGTATTCCCATGGCGACCTCAGCGTTATTCACCGAAGCCGTTTTGCCGCCTGGACACGGCTCAGGCAATAATTGGTCCTCGTTGACAGGAGCGTGCCAAAGGGGTGGGTAGAACAATGCTTCCAGCAGCTCGGAAACAAAATAGTACATCCCATAGGATGAGCTAACCCGTCTAGGGTCCATGTCGCTGGGTTAATACCCAAACCATTATCCTGAGTGTGCCACTGTTGCTGCAAAAGAATGCGTCGCGAAGCTTGTGGCCGATAACGATCCGGATCGATTCGCGCATGCGGTCCAATCCCTAAGCTGTAAGTCACGTGCGTCAGATCCGGTCAAAACCATCGGTCGGAGCGGGTCGGGGACACTCCTAGCACGACCAGCAAGGACGTAACAGCTAGGTGATATGCGGAGAACGGAAGGCAGTGCCTTGGCTGTCACCACCTCTTGCGGGCACAGTCTGGGACAAGAGTCTGTTCTACTGTAGCCGACACAGCGCACAGATACGGCATGCCGCTTCTCTCCGGGTGCTGTCGGTTGGTTAACGTCATGGCAGGCCATCATGGTGCTCTGGACTCGTCATGTTGCCGAGTCCTGCATGACGACGGCCTGGAGCACAGGCCACCTTGCCCCATCCGCGCTGATCAACACCG